GTTGATACGGTCATCCCAGTCGTTTTAGGCGGCGCTATTTGCTGTGCAGAGTCGCGTCCCCTAGGCGTGCCAGTAAACTTTATGATCGCACTATACACATGTATCACTTGGGGATTTTCCCCCACATCAAGACTCACACGCTGTGATATTACCGAAAAACCGTTCAAAGCGGCGTCAAACAAAACCTCACTCGTGATATCCCTTTTAAGAGTGAGTACGGTTTAACGCCGCTTGTAGCAATATTCCAGCAATATCACGGCGGGGGACACCAAAAATGGACTTCACACGTTGTACCTATGTCGGGAATCGAACGCGGGTCTTCGGTGTGACGGGCGTAAGCTTTAAATACTAGGCTACCCAACCGCACTGACATCCCTTATGACAAACGACGCTTGGTAAATCAATATCATATTTCACAATAATGTTGTAACGACGTCTATATACTTAATACATCAAACTTCAGATATCCGAGGACCCTTTAACCAAAAGGCTAATCTCCTTCTTTACAGACGTGTGTTTGAGCATTTGTAACTGTTGTGACTAGGTTCGATTCCTGGGTGCATCCATCTAAACCCAAATATCATGTTTAGTATAGATTTTGAAAATAAGCAATACTAAACATACAACACCGTGCCATGTACTGCAGACCCACACCTTCAAACTAACACGGGGCTGATGACAGAGACACAAACACCGGGGGCGATATTCTTCGCCGGCTCACCTCTAGACGCAGACACAATTGTTTTCGCCCAGATTGGACTCAATTGTCATTATATGTGGCAGACATGTCCTGCAAGTGCGGGACCCTATTGATTTAAACTGACAGCAAACGTTGCGTTTATTACGGCAGGTCGATGTCCACTCACGACCAGTTCGAGGAGTATTTTCAACTCGACCCTGCTGACTATAAGACAGTGTTTCGAAGAATGACAAGCTCGTTGCAACCTTTGAACAATTTTCGCCGTTCTGATACTGCTTTAGAATTACGTTTCCGCCCGATTCACAAAGATCATCAGGTTTCCCCATCAGGTTTCCCCATCAGGTTTCCACATCGTACCGTAAAAGATTTCCGAACATTAGCAGACGACGTGATTGCCACGTGACCATCACGCACATCACATGACTGAATTTGGTAAGGATACGTAGGTTTTTAAATGAACGACGGCGCAACATTTTTCACACGTCATTGAAAGACATAAGTGCAAGATGTGAAGATGCATGCATACCAATATCGCCACCCGTTGTATATGTGGACGACAGCCGTGGAACACAGTTTGCCTGTTGACTACGGTAAAGGGATACTTAGACAATGGCGCTATAGAGACTGTACGTTTCCTTGTAATACGTCACAAGTCTATGGAACTTACAACTATGCATACCAAAAGACTGTTACTTACCCTGCCTGCAGTTACAACATCTCAAAACGCATGAAATGAGATGAAAGTCAAAGACAGTACTTACATTTGACAGCCACAAGTGCTGTCGTTAATGAAATACAGCTCTTTGATCAAGCCCAAGTTAAACTATGACGCCATTTTAAAAACGATCACAACTGATATTGGGCCTTGTCTACCCATGGAAATTATGTAGGATACTCAAATACACTTTAACAGGTGGCTCGAAGAAATTAACTGTTGACAAATTTAACCGCAATTTTAGGCACTGAGTTCCACTAGAAGACATAAATTTGTCCCTCAACCTAAACTATATGTGTGCATCGAATACAGGACAATAGCATTTACAAACCCAAAACGATTGTACGCGTGTTTTTGCAGGTGAACAATTTACTTTCCTTTGTATGTGTTTGTGACGAGTGCCATCGGTTGGGCAGGATACGCTCAACTTTTTGCGAACACCTCGTATCATCACGTGAATCGTGATTCATAACCACAAGCCCATGATGTAGTCGGAATTGTGCAATCGACCCTGCTTATAGCAGAGATTGCTTATGAATATTGAAAGGCTTTTGTCGCTTTCATTGCGATGAATGAACTGGCCGTTGTTTAAACAGATTTGATTGCAAATGATTAATTTCTTCTCTCCCAATTATTGTTCACGTTAATATTATTTGTTTACATATAAATGCATTTAATCTTTCCACACAAATGTTCACATAAAGTACAGCCATAGATATAATGCATGAAATACAACCAACTAACCCTTGCACAGATAATTTAAACGTGACGTGACATTTATTTTACGAACAGCATCATTTAATCAGAATTTTTAGTTTTAATCAAACATTTTATGCACAATCATGAGGTATTTGCTTGAAACATGTAGTAGGTTTCAATATGGACCTTAGCATGTAATCTGAAACGATACAACGTCGCTAAGGCCGCTTTCCATTAAACTGTCAGCAATGACGTTCCTGTAATGTGTACATAATACAATCATGAAAATCACTGAGTCATTTTCAATTCATTATTATTCCTTGTGATATTTGAATGTATTGATGCAATCTCGTTAATTTCAAGCCTGTCTGACATCCGTCTAGATAGAAAAAAACATTTGACGATTCGACCTTACTTCCCTAATTTTAAGAACAATTATTTTTTACTTTCTAGACATTAATTAACAAATTTAATGTAAACATATATAAATGTATTAGGAAGACTTACAGTATATCACACCACATTGTATTAATCTTAGAATGGTGGCTGGATGGATATTAAGGTTTTCGGCTTAGCTGGTGTAGTGTCACTAGAGGTTGATCTCCACAAGCAGCCTAGCGCCAAACTATGCCATGCTCCCGACACGTCACAGTGACGTCATAGTTTGCACCTTCTCGGTCGCTGTGTCGCCGGTCAGGGCATTTCATGACTGTTAGTGAGGCGTGTCGCTTGTGTTAGGACGAAATCGGTTTGGTAAGTTTATCAGTTTATACTTTAATAATCCTTTAGGAACATAGATGGACGAATTATTACATGTAGATAGAGTGATGTTCGACAGTATGAATGAATGAGTTGTTTGCTTCACAATGTTTTGGGGATCAACAAATGTCTGGATGTAAACATTTCAACATGGCGTTTCAACCGATAGGAATATATGCCTGTAGGTGTCAACCTTTGAACTGATAGCAATTGAAAACGAGCAAACGAAATGAGACTGTTCTAATTCGGGCCAGTCAAGTGTTGGATGTATTGTTCGTTCATATTTTTTAAAAAGTTGTTCTGAATCATAGAATAGCTGAAATTCCCTCTGGTAGTCGCCATTTCAGTCTTTGTCACCATGTACGTCTATTTCCATTATGTTTGTAAGCCTTATTCATTTTAAACCAAACACAGTAAAAACATGAAGTACTGTTGTGTCGGCAACAGTGTTTGCCTCAGATAGTAAGCTGAGCTGTTATGATTGCCATACTGTCGGCAACACTCGGTATGTTTAAATTATGGCAGTGCTACAAATAGTTTGCCTGATCCGGATTTAGGCCTACAACTGTGTTGTACACGCGCTGAATCAAGTAGACCTGTTGCTCGTTGTTACATCACTGACATATTAATCTGTATCATGTCGTATGTTTAGGTTTGATTATTAAAGGAATTAACGAAAATAACAAACATGGTATACCCCGACACACCAAACGATATATAGGCCTATATATCTGCGTAAAATAATCACTTTAATTAGATCTACATAATCAGACTTCATACAGGCTTGAAAAGGCCTTGAATGTGAAGGTCACTCTTGAAAAGCCTTGGTTTTTAGTTTATGTATTGAAAAGCCTTGAATGTCACCAGCACAGCTTGGAAAGCGTTGAATTTGTACCTTTTGACATTAACTTGTATAATAACAAACAATTTGGCAGTGTGTCATTTCTTTTTCCAAAAGATGTTAAAATACGCGTTTGGCTGGCACGTTGCTGACAGGTGTCGTCATGGTTAAGCTGCAAAATCTGATTAAATATCCTCGTAATCAGCATGGTAACTCGACAATTCTCTTTAAGTGAGTGGAACAACAAATAATTTTACCATAGGTCGCCACAACACTCTACATGTAGTACTGTTATTCCAGTGTTATTTTAGAGTTTCTGCAACAACTGTCAGATGCAATATGGACAAAGAGAAGCCACTTTTCTATGTGTGTAAAATATCCATTATCGAAATAAAATTAAAAATAGACGTTAAAATTCATAAAAAAAAATCTCCATAAAACACTGGTGGGAGCCATATTTTTCTGGTTAAAATATAATCCGGTGTGCATTGGGTCCCACAGACAACAACTACCCAGGTACTATTTGAATACACAGGAATAACAAAGAAGGCAGTGAAACTCAGAACGCAATGTTCAGTATTTGACCTGCATGTACCATCAAGGTTTGCTATTGATATTATGCTGCAACGAAATAACCATGTGATAACAATTCCACCCACGATTAATGAATTCAAACTAAATACTAATCATTCCATCAATTGAAATTATGAGAAGAAACATTTAGATAGCTGATGTTAAAACTCAGTGTGAGAAATTGGCACTGATTCTATAGTCCTTGCCAAACTGCCTTTATTAAGGGTTTTGCTACATGTTATCAGTGTAAGGATCTTTGGACTAAACCAGTTAGTTTCTAGGCCTATAGCTGTTTCAAACATTACGGGGTTTACCAATATAACGAATTACAAATTATGTTTTTCCTTTTAGTTTTAGATTTGATTTTACTTTGAGTGAAGTGACAGTAATGTTTAATGTATGTTGCATGTTTGGGTCCCAAAATTGAATAACAATAACAGTGCACAGCTTAATACACTTAGATTCAAAGTTTAGAAATTGGACTCGGAAGTGTGTTTTTTTTCTTAAAAGACACGCAACGCAGATGAGCAACAATCTAAATCTAAATCTGATTGAAGGGATTTGTCAGTCACTAAACTAGGTGTAGTTTTACCTCTGATATAACAAATGTATTGTAATCTAATTCTTCCGTGAATATCTTAAAAGGCAACACATTTGTGCAAAACGCAAATGTCTGTGGCAAGTATTTCTGAACAGCATATTCTTTGTTTCAGCCTCGACTGAACCGAGTAATATCCCGAGCCAGAGCGAGAGCGTTTCACATTACCAACTGACGACACAAGAGTCTGATCAACATGGTAGGTGGGAGAAGCCAGCATGTGGTAGATACTGTCACTGTCCGACTTTGTGCAGGTGTGGCCACATCATCACGTAACAAATTAGCCGGAAACCCCACAACCCTGCATATAAACAGTCTCTTCAATTAACAGGTTGATAAATTCAATCCAATATTATCTTCTTAATTTCAAACAAGTCGCCAATTGCACTCATAGTTCTACCATAAAACTCAATCCAATAAACGTGTATAGACACGCAGCGTCGATGAACAACAATCCCAATTTGTCGAATGGCAATAACGTGTCTGCCGACAGTATATATAATGCCTATGTGATGTATATAGATTTCTGAACATCATATTCTGTGTTTCAGCCTCCAGTGACCAGAGTCGAGTGACATCGAGTCCGAGCGAAAGAGTTTGGCGGCACCCAGCGAAGAACCAAGCAGGTGGTAGTTCACTCCTCAAACCTTCATTCAAACAGTTTCTACGATTAACCCGTCATATAGCTGGAATATTGCTGAGTACGGCGTAAAACAACAAACAGGCTGACATAAACCAGTTCAGTCCATCAAACGTTAACACTCGCCAGCCACACAGAATAATGTTACAACTACTGGATGTGACAGAAAGATTTTAAACATTGACCACATAATCCTTGATTACATGAACCAGCTGTCGTCCTTCCCCTTGATCCTTGTGTTGTCAGCCATGTTGGAAGTGGTTGATGTCGTACCGTGTCAAGTGTCACCACGTTGAGGTGTGAACCATGTAGATGTATGACGAGGGTGTCTGGAAGTGTACAGAGTTTACTTTGTGTTACAGCGACTCCATCACCAGCAGGCTGCAAGGACCTCCATGTCGCCAGCTGGGCCGGGAACCTGGAGGAGGTGAAGCGGATCCTGTCTCAGGGCGTGGACGTCGACTGTAGGTGGGGATGGAGGCAGACACCGGTGATGATTGCAGCATGGTGGGGACAGAGAGACGTGGTGGAGCTCCTGGTGAGTGAAGGGGCCGATGTGTCACTGGTGGACGGGTACGGTCGCAACACCCTTCACTACGCCTGTATGAGAGGAGACATGGAGACGGTGAAGTTTGTGCTGTCTCTGCACGTGGTGGACATCGACGCCAGGGACAACGACGGGCGGACGGCGGCCGACCTGGCGAGACTCGGGGGACGTACGCGACTGTTGGATCTCCTCGTGTCCCGCGGCGCTCAGTGACGTCAGTGTCGTGTTTGTGTGGACGGTGGGGGGAGACCTGACAGTGACGTGGTGTGCCGTTCACGTCGTCGTGTGTACATATGTCTTTATTTACGTGAAACTGTTTGTTGTTTTGAGAGATGAATAAAACTTGTAAAAACTTTATCAGACATTTTGTCATTTGTTGTGTTTGGAACTTCGCATCATCAGGTTAACTGAGTGTAAATAGAGATGATGTGTGATTGGTATGTAAGCACCGCACCTCGTGATATACTCATGCATGTCGTTATATATTTCTGTGTTAGTTTTACGCCATAAGTTTGTAATTAATCGTGAAAAACACACAAAAACCTGTTTGTTTACATCTCGCTGCACTCGGTGACGTCAGACCCAGACGAGGTTCGCCCAGCTGACGAGGTTCGCCCAGCTGACGTGGCGCCAAATGTACAATGACAGTGACGTCACACTGTCGATGACGTCACGGCATTCCGGCTTAGGTCTTAACACTAAAGCTGCCGGCTGTTTTCTCTGCTAAATACGATATCGGTAATTCACAGGGCAGCACAATGCTGGCTTCACGACATATGCAAGTACAGCACAGGCCTCATGTTGGCGATATAGATTAACAAATGGAGATATGTTGCATATTATTGCTGCTGAAATTTAAAAAGAAATATTTCTGATTGTCGAGATATTTATTTTCTCGCTCACGTTTCACCATTTCAATCAAGCTACTTCCCAGCGCGTGACACCTTCTTTACACTCTCGTCTTACGACTGACCAGATTCCCCAGATGAGTTCAGAGCTATAGATAGGGTTTGGGTTATTTGTTGTTTTTCACCCAGGGGCAGGATGCCAGAGGGATATATATGTCTCTCCTTTTCAAACCTCACTTGGAAGTCGAATAAAATTCAAAATACATCAGCCACGCAGAAACACTTCACAGTTTTGTATACTGTGAACTTTCTGCCATATAAGATAGTGTTTACAAAATTACGTTTCACATGTACCGGTAATGAAACGCCTGTAACATTACACGTATTTCAAACTCAGCTGTGATACATACATCCTTGAATTCCTCATACATTTTAGAATCAAATGACACATGGTCTCTGTCACCAATACAAAGTGGCGAGATCAAATCAAACAAATTAGGTTAGGTGTGAAAACACCGCTGTGCTCGAAACACTGCACTGGTTCGAAATGTAAACAAAGCAAAATACATATTTTACAGCGTAGCGTTTCCCCCTATTTTGAGCTATCCATTCGTCTATTCGTTCAGGATATGCATCTGAAGAGAATCATAGGAAGAATTAGGGAATTAAAAATTTATACATCGCTATGATTTGATATTTTCAACAGAAATTGTCAAAGCTACCGTCCAGTGTGACGCCATGACTGACGCAATATCACGCACAATGACAACGGTATTTATCGGAATTTCTGACTATTTCCGTTGGTTTCAATGAAAATATAACAACAAATAACAGTAAACAGATTGTCAGAATGTTTCTGATTACTTACAGGTCACATGTATGTATATACGATCCGTGAATCAACGAAAGCCACCTCGTACAATCCCGCGTACTGTTGTAAGTGAACACGTCAATTTGTAAAAGTCAGTCACCAGTAGTGATGTCATAAGTCAACATTGTTGTACATATTTGGTAATTTCTTAAGGGGAAGGCCCTTGAATGAAAGCACACACGATCATTGTATCCTGTTGTTTACAGTTTCAAGTGTGATGTAGTATATAGTAGTATATGGTATCATACGTAAATATAGGCCACAACATGTATGAATGAACCTTCGATAATCTCGTGTTTGTTTGAACATTGTTTACATAAGGAATTGATTAGTTTATAGTGTCGACTACGATATTTCTTTCCTTTGGACAAGTGTTACAAGGTGAAATGTAAATGTAACTGCAACATGTACGTATTTGTGGGGAGTGTAATGGTCAATATTATAAATTCATATAAACAATTTCAATGAATAGCCGTTTCATTTTATTTTAAAATTAAAACTGAATATATTAATTTAACCAAATGGATAATAATTTTCGTTAAATATACGCACACATTTCCCGGAAAATTGTCTTGGTCTTGGAATTGTTTTTTTAGGTCCTTAGATATGCATAACAGTGATATCTCACGATTCACAGGTGCGCGTTGTCACAAACGTTTGACGAATAATTTCTCTCGTTTTGCATTATATAATCTCAAGGTTCATCTTTTTCTAAATATTGTGATCACAGGACATTAAACTGTTTACTTTATTTCTCCGAGAAGTGTAAAAAGTAATTAGAGGAGCTATATATATCAATCAAAAAACCAGTGTCGTCTTTCTCCGACGTTGTCAAAGACATAAAACCAGCCATGACGTCAAATAGAATGGTGTCATTGTTTTAGTATTTCATTACATTTGATCACAAGGCTAGTGCTCCATTAATAATGGTGCAACATAAGCTAAATTACACTTGCACAGTCAGAAGAAAGTTGTAATCTAAGGACTAATTTACAGCTTAGATAGGGCCATTCATTTCGCTATTGATTCTTTTTTTATGAAGTACATTTTCTTCATTTCTTACGGTAATATAAGGGAGTATACAGTTTGGTTACTCGTAAATAAAATGAAAATATACTGTCCCTACCCACAGCTAATTCTCACCAGGTGACCTGAGTTTAAATAAACTGGAACTAAGCATAGCTGAGTTATGCCCACTTTTCTTTTTACGTGTGTAACCTCTCTGCCGCCTTTTGACGTCATAGAGAAAAAGCAGTTTTCGTCATTTACGGCAGGCTACTTTTTGCATTGAATGTATGTCCTTATACATACGCATATAACTCTTTTGATATATATTTATGTCGTTCAGATATTAGGCAGAATTTTGTTCGCTCACAGTTTCTGTAAAGCTGCTAAATAAAACAAAAAACGTTGCACAGTACTTTTACCATTGTTAGATAAAAAGCGGCGAAATTTCCTGAATAATTGTTCGGACAACATTTAGCAGAATCTTTTGTTGAAACCGGCGTAATATCTGCAGTTAAATTAACACCATCAGATAGGAAATATAATCCTCTGTGTAATCTTATAGCCGGAGGTAAATCCAGTCCCGCATGAGCGCAATTGTCGCACAACCTTCACTTTTCCGATCTTAGGAAAATGTGCGTCAGACAAGAAAACTCGGCATCCAGCGGGTAATGTTGATTGCGTATCCACAAGTTTTAAGATACAATATGTATAACGTATTCTGACGAGGCACGATGTGCTTTTCATTTGGCATCTATCAGTTTGTCGAAAAAGCTTTTCCGAATGTAACGGACGTTAAGTGAATTTGGCGATCGGCTGATACACAATCATGTTATCTTACAGTTGTAAGATATGCAATCGTTTTATCTAATAGTTATGAGCATAAATTTTACTTAAAGAGCATATTTATGGTTTTTGTTGCGTATTTGATACGCTAGAATTTGAATTGTCTGCGTATTTAAGTTTATTTAATGCGTGTTTACGCAAATACACAGCTCATCTCGAGCTCTGGAATTTACCTTTTTCTTTGTTTAATCAGATTGGATCGAGATTGCAAACAAACATAAAATCACTATCGCGCTAAGCTTGCGTGGCGTACCAACATTGGAACCACTTTTATAAAATCACCCAACTTCCCCCTTACATTCCTACTGTACCAATTACATGATAGTTGATTCGAAGTAGAATTCAAATTGACGAGGCAATAATAATTAGCTGGGGTAAGTGTATATTCGGCGTCACGGAAGTTATCACTTGTTTATAAACAAAATGGTCAATCGGTTGCCTATCTCATTAAGATCAGATCTTAGTTTTCACCTGATGTATAACAGTTACAGAACATACACATCCACTACTGGTGCACATCCTTGTTATTCCCTGTCAGTCTCAACACCTGATGTATAACAGCTACAGAACATACATATCCACTACTGGTGCACATCCTTGTTATTCCCTGTCAGTCTCAATACCTGCTGTATAACAGCTACAGAACATCCACATCCACTACTGGTGCACATCCTTGTTATTCCCTGTCAGTCTCAGCACCTGATGTAAAACAGCTACAGAACATCCACTACTAGTGCACATCCATGTTATTCCCTGTCAGTCTCCACACCTGATGTATAACAGCTACAGAACATACACATCCACTACTGGTGCACATCCTTGTTATTCCCTGTCAGTCTCAACACCTGGTGTATAACAGCTACAGAACATACACATCCACTACTGGTGCACATCCTTGTTATTCCCTGTCAGTCTCAACACCTGATGTATAACAGCTACATAACATACACATCCACTACTGGTGCACATCCTTGTTATTCCCTGTCAGTCTCAACACCTGATGTATAACAGCTGCAGAACATACACATCCACTACTGGTGCACATCCTTGTTATTCCCTGTCAGTCTCAGCACCTGGTGTATAACAGCTACAGAACATACACATCCACTACTGGTGCACATCCTTGTTATTCCCTGTCAGTCTCAATACCTGATGTATAACAGCTACACAACATACACATCCACTACTGGTGCACATCCTTGTTATTCCCTGTCAGTCTCAATACCTGATGTATAACAGCTACAGAACATACACATCCACTACTGGTGCACATCCTTGTTATTCCCTGTCAGTCTCAATACCTGATGTATAACAGCTACAGAACATACACATCCACTACTGGTGCACATCCGTGTTATTCCCTGTCAGTCTCAATACCTGATGTATAACAGCTACAGAACATACACATCCACTACTGGTGCACATCCGTGTTATTCCCTGTCAGTCTCAATACCTGATGTATAACAGCTACAGAACATACACATTCACTACTAGTGCACATCCTTGTTATTCCCTGTCAGTCTCAATACCTGATGTATAACAGCTACAGAACATCCACATCCACTACTGGTGCACATCCTTGTTCTTCCCTGTCAGTCTCAGCACCTGATGTAAAACAGCTACAGAACATCCACTACTAGTGCACATCCATGTTATTCCCTGTCAGTCTCCACACCTGATGTATAACAGCTACAGAACATACACATCCACTACTGGTGCACATCCTTGTTATTCCCTGTCAGTCTCAACACCTGATGTATAACAGCTGCAGAACATACACATCCACT